CCCCCCCCCCCCCCCCCTACAAAAATCTCGGCGTCAATCTGCAGTCGTCGTCCTTCCCAATAGAGCCAATACAAGTAACAGCCCATACACGGGCCAAAACCGTGATGGGATTTGATGATGCAAAGAGCTCGTTTACCGGGGGACAGCCTGCGGACGCAGCGAAATGGAGCGGGGTGGAACCCTTGGACGTGGATGCCACGGGGTTCGCCCCTGCCTCTAGCAGCTGGGAGAACGCCAGGACGTGGCCGCCGCGGCAGGCGAACATCAAGGGCGTCGTGCCGTTCTCGTCAGCCGCCTCTACCTAANGGGGGGGGGGGGGGGGGGGGGGGGGGGGGGGGGGGGGGGGGGGGGGGGGAGTACTCTCATGTTTTGCATGGGTGTGTGCCTCATTCAAACGCATGCCGTAGGGGGTAGACTTTAGACCATAGATCCCTGCAATGTCGGGATGGAGCGATAAGCCGGGGTTTCGCCGGCCCAGGCTACGGTTCACAAGGATGAGCCAGAAACTAGCCATCCTTGGCGGGGGGGGGGGGACCTCATAGTCGTGCATGCCGTAGTCGTTAGACCATTGGCCTCGCATGGGGCGTACGTTTATGTTTTGCATGCCTGAACGGTTGGACCATAGACCACGCGTCCTCGAGAGGACGGAGCATTGTTCCCACAGGACAGATCACCGATGGCCAATCGTTCCTTCCTACATTGCCAAAGGTGGCTCAAACACTTCTTTTATCGTACCGATATCACTTGCCGCGTTTTCAACCCACTTCCTATGCCCCAGTACAGCTAACGTCTTCTCCTGGCTATCCCATACCTCAAACATCTCCCTGTACTTTTCTTCTACTTTTCCCAGCTCAGACATGTACACTCCCCACTCCTTCTTGTACAGCCGACTTTCCGCGATTACATGAACACGGTCTTCGCACTCGGAGCCGCAATCGCATGGGGGTGGGGGTTCTACACTGCGCCGTTCGGAGGGGTATCGAGGTTGTTGTTAACAAGGTGTCACCGGTACTTTCACCAAGGGGTAAGATGTGCGCAACATAGAACCATGATCGGTGACACGCATAACTTTTTCGTTTGAGAAGGTACGGGTGTAAATAACACCAGAGTACACCAGAGTACACATCACGACAGAGATCAGCGCCCAAAGCATCCGTTTGTAAGCACCCACTTTGGTTTCTATGTGTAGGGCGTCTCAGCTTGGCGATTACATCCACGTCCACGTGGCGGGAGGCACACACATCTCCTCTGGGAAAAAAATACATGTATACTCCACCAACATGACCGCCGAGAGTGAATATCAATCTATCTCTTGGTGTCTGTGACCGAAAACTGTGGGTATCGCTCCCGCCCTTGTATCGCCAATCTCACAACCCCGCAAACACCCGGGCCGCGAACATCACAAAAAAGCCAAACAAACCACTTAAAAGTAGAGGGACACGTCGCCATGTAGGCGGCGGCGTGCCAGAAAGATAACGTTCGCGTGAGAGAACATCGTACCTCATCAAAAGCACAAACACCGCTCTACAAATTACACCCGGAACGGCTGGAAGGGTGGAAGGGTGGAAGGGTGCGGGCCAATTGAACCGACACGCTTGTGTCTGTCCGAGGAGCGCGGCCAACAATGACCGAACGTCTTCTAGCCTACTAAGGCGCCGCCTTACGCGCGGACGGCTCCGCTTCCTCATGTACTGCATGTACCACATCTGACAAAACTTACCACAGCCCGTGTACCGATGTTCAAAGCTTCCCTACGACCATGAGGATGCACAAATCAAACGACGCATTCTTCGGAAACCCATCTCTCGACGAGACGGCTCCAACGCCGCCATCCTCAGCACCGCCCACTCTGTCCTGCTGTGGAGAAGTCGAGCTTTGATAAGTCAGTTCGGGGGGCGTAGTATCTTCCGACACTCTTGCGGCTGTCAGGGTGCGGGCTGCGCTCGGCATGAAAGCGGAGGCCAAGGGTTTGGTGAAAACGAGCACTCACGTCCGCGCCGGCCTTGACGAGCCATGACGTCACCTCCGGGTGTCCCAGTTCCGCGGCGAAGGTGAGAGCTGTCCTGCCCTTCTTGTCCCTCAGGTCCACTTTGATGGTGTGAAGTGTGCACGATGGGGTTGTTGTTTCGTTCGGTATTGGTAAGTAGCGCAGCAACGTCGAGAAAAAAAAGCGGAAGGATCATGCCCGCACACAAACACACATGTGAGAGATAGAGGGAGAGAGAGAGGAGAGAAAGAGAGGTGAGAAGGAGAGTAGACAAGAGAGAGCGAGAGAGAGGGAGAGAGGGGGGGGAAAGAGAGAGAGAGAGAGAGAGCGAGAGAGAGGGAGCGAGAGAGAGAGAGAGAGGGGGACAGCTAGAGGGAGGAGAGAGGCGGGGGGGAACACGGATGAAAGGAGAAGAAAGAAGAAACCGAACGGTAAACGGACTAATCATAAAAATGCTGGTCACACTACGAGAGGCTCAATCGCGTTTTCGGGCTTGCGAAACGAGGGTGCAATCTAACGAGTGATGTCGTTTAGCACGCCCGAAGACGCAGTTGTACCTCTCGTAGTGTGACTGACTGACTGACCAGCATTGTTTTTATTTTTCCGTTTGCTATTCGGCTTCTTCTTTCTCTCTGTTCACTTGTGTTTCCCCCCGCCTCTCTCTTCCCTCTCTCTGTCTCCCTCTCGCTTCCCCTCCTCTCTCTCTGTCTGGGTGCAGTCCAACGAGCCATGGTACCTGTGGTAATGCCAAAAAACCTTCCACCCCGCTCCCATCCGACCCCCCCCCCCC